ATTTGCCTTCAGGAACAATTATTGAAAGTTATTTTCAAGTCATAAAGTTACTTTCATCCTATAAATTAGTATTTGTACCAGTCTCATTAAACCTATTTTTGTTCAGTGTTTGAAATGTTATCATTACAGAAGCAGCTTATGTTTTTCAGTTTCCCCCTTAAGTATGAAGTACATGCCCTTAGGGGGGATAAATTATTTCAGCTTTCCACAAGCTTCAGAAGAGTAGTAGATAACATAATTCTATGGTGTTATTTACAGCTTTATTGTGCTACATAGAAGCTTAGACTTCAGCATATATGGCAATTGTATTTTGTCTTGTCAGTTAGTACTCAAGCTGAAGTGCTTTTCTGCTAACTATCACTTCAAGATTGGGTTAGGGGAGATCTATTTCTGAATGCAAAGGATATCACAAAGGAAAAGCCACAGCCACTTAAACAATGCAGAGTAATGATTTATATTTAAATGTGTGGCTCACAGCAAAACGTAAATCACATTTGGTGGTCTAGATTTGCTTCAGGATTTGACTCCAGCAGTTTGCTGTTATTTAAAGTATATCAGTTTAACTTTTAATCAAAGAGAGGAGACTTCTTCAGTACAGAGGTGCTTGTTTCATTGCCTGTAAAGTGATTTTCATATTTAATAGATAGATGGAGCTATAGTCATTTAGCATTTTATGCACTGCCACATGTGGTGTATATTTTAGAGAAAAACAGGGGCTCTTGCTTCAGCACCCTGGAACACTTATATGGTGGTATTTAGAAGTAGGAAAGTGATCAGTGTCCTGTGATGGCCAAAACCCATTCACTTATTCAATAAGAAGACTAAGATGCCCTCGTAATGCAGGCAAGTATTAGCAGAATTCCAGCAATATATATTCCATGTATAAAGCACCACGGCTTTCCTGGCTGGCAGGCATGGTGGTGCCAGTGTCATGGTTTGGGGCTGCTTTTCTGCCTTAGGACTCCGTTTTCCATCATTGACAGCGCCTTGAATTAGAGGGTCTAAAATCAAATTCTGGAGGTTAACGTCAGGCCGTCCATTTGTCAGCTGAAGCTGAGCCGAAAGTGGGTCGTGCAGCAAGACGGCGAGCCTCGACGTATAGGCAGATCTAAAACAGAGTGGGTGAAGAAAAAACTGTTGTGCATCATGGCGTGGCCAAGTCAGAGTTCAGACCTAAACCACACTGAAACGTTATGGCAGGACCTAAATTGAGCTGTTCATGCAACAAAACCCTCAAATGTCACTGACTTGAAGTTGGTAATGAAGAATGAGGCAAAAGTTCTGAAAGCTGTTGCGAAAGATAGAGTTTAAAGCCATTTCTACGGCAGGAGCAGACCAGATACCAGATACTGAAATGAAGTGTTCATAGGAACGCACTGTTGAATCATTTTGTTAAATAATCAAAATATATACCATATTTTTTACTTGTCTATTTAGTTTAATTGGGATATCTATAACTTTAATTGAGACTTTCATGAAGATTTAATTACTTTTAAGATCTAAAAATCTATGAGAATACCAATCCTAGGGGTTGCCATACATTTTCCCAGCACTTTATTGTGAGATTGTGGTTTGTTTGTTTTTTTTTGGTTTGTCTCCTATAGAATATAATATATTTTATTGCACAAATTACCTAGGTAGCTTGTTTTGTTTAAACCTAAATAGTTTGCGATTCAGAATTAAAGGAGTTCTGTGTAGTCTACTGCTAATAAAAGGAGTGTGAACATTGTTTTTTAACTTTCAAAGATAACTCATCTATACACTTTATTGTTCTTTTATAGTTTAGAATTTCCTGTCAATAATTTAACAACTAAAAAGTTAAACCTTGAAATCGTTAAATTTACTCAACTAAGCAAAGAGTTGAAAGAGTGCAAATATGTGCAAATATCGGGATTTCTCAGTTATTCAGTATAAACTTTTTTATTAGTCTCTTTTAATTCAGTGACCTTGAAGAAGTGTATCATTACTCAAAATGCTGAAAACGTCAATGTTTGAAGCCTTTCCACGTAAAAAACACTTGTACGGTTTAAGTTACATTGTTTTCCAGAGGTGGAGTTATTTAGGTTTTTCTTCTGAAAACTGTCCCAACTGTTTTTTCTAAACAATGAAACGAATAAAATTTGATATGGATGTGAATTTTAAGTAATATTTATAACATACATATTTGCTTTGCTCTACCCCTTGCAGTATGATTATTAACACGTCATGTGTTTAATCTTTTATAGTTGTTTACTACTATAGTGGACTTTACAGTTTAGTTCAGTATAAAGCACATCTCCCTGCGCCATTCCATTTCTCAAGATTACAGTCAAATTCTGACTTTGAAAAGCGATAAAGCACAGTTTCAAGGACTTTAAAAAAAGCGATGTTCCTTAACAAAATGTCAGCTAGCGGGACCTCCTGCCTTCTGGTGTGTGGGGTGCAGGGCTGAGACAAATAAGATGAAGCCCACGTTTCAGAGCCTGTGAGACGAGAGATGGTGGTCTCTGTTCGCAGGTACCTGAGTCGAGTGTTCGGCGTGCACCCAAAGGAGACCACGCGACAACTGAGCCTGGCAGTGAAGGATGGCCTGGTGGTGGAGACGCTCACTGTTGGCTGCAAGGGCTCGAAAGCTGGCATCGAGCAGGAAGGATATTGGTTGCCAGGAGACGAGATAGTAAGTGTCATTTATGTTTAGAATTGGGTCACATGTTTCCTGTCACAGAGCATTGAGCTTGCACACGTGGAAGATGCAGGTCTTGATGATTGCTCTTTTGGCAGTCTGTGTTTTGATTTTCTTAGTCTTTTTCAATCCCAGAGGTGTAATACAGCCCCTAAAAGAATATGGATAATAAAAAGCAATGTTTTGTAGTTTGATCCTTTTTAGAATTATTATTTTTATTTACTTTGTTGATTACAGAATGTTGAATGTTTTTGATTAAGTCTCCCTATCAAAGTACAAAGTAGAAAAATTGCAAATAAATAGTTTGTTCTGTGTGCAGTTCTGTGTTTTCGTAGAATACGAGGAGGTAATTTGATACACCATTATTCTGCTTTGTTAATGCCTTAGCAGTTGTTTAGTATACCATTTTGGTGCCATTCACTTAATTGAATAATTCAAGAGACAGGACATCTCCAGCATTGTGTTTCATTATTATCATCAATACATTTTTAGCACAACATGCTTTATTGCCCAGTTTGTTATAACGTAACTTACTTGGCATAGTTTGTGTGTTTTTTTTTCTTTTGAAAGCATATTTTTATTTACAGTCCCGCCAGCCAGTATTCTCTTAGTCTCCTTCTGTCTCTGTATCCCGTTAGTTTCTTTTTAAAGCACACTATTGTACATACTGTATAAGAACTACTGTAGTTTAGTGTCTGAATAGATCCTTTACAAATAGCATATTAAAAACCATGTGTTTCAAGAAGTGTACCACTGAGTGTCTTTCTGCATTCACTTCTGAACACAGAAGCTTTGCTGTTCAGGCACTGCACATGTTCTGCAATAAATGTGAGTAGATTACAGCTTGTCTTCATGTGAACAAATTTCATCTGTGTCTTTTTTTAAAAAAAGCACATCCTTGTGAAAATATAGTGATAGGTCTGGGTTACTTTGTATTGAAATTGTTAATTTCTAAAAAAATGTGTTTTTTAAGCTTGTGTATAGCAAACAATGAGTCCTGCAAGAACAGAAAATTCTCATTTTTAGAAAGATTAAAGGCTTGTAAGGGGAAGCCATTTAAAACATAAACTGTCATTACTGACAGCAAAGCAATTGTTTATTTTTCTCATGCTGGACAGAAAGAACAACCCAACCCCAAGAGCAACAAACAGTGCAGTGATTGTTTAGTCAATACATTGCATTCAATGAATACATGTATATAATAATTTATTGCTGAATCATTTATGTTGAAATACCACTGAAGTAAGAAGCATTTTTCCTGGTCCTCGCATAAAAATAAAATCTGATCCTCTGTTCTGCCCTCCATTTTTGAACATCTACTTATCTAAGTGTTTTAGTGGGGCTATTTCAGTTTGTGAAAGACATGAAAAAGACTCACTGCAGGCTGAGGTGTCTTCACCATGTCCCCTGTGGTTATTTGTCCAAAGCTAGGCATCCCTTCAAGAGAAAACAGAGTATGAAGCTCCCGGTGGCTGATGGGTCCCTGTGGCATAGGGATGCCATGGAGATTACTGGGTCAAGCAGGGTGGCGTAAGCTGGGTTTTCCCAAGGGAATCTGGTGCCAGTGCAGGTGGGTGGGTAGAAGACGGGGTTTCCTTGGCATTGTGTACGACAAATCCTCCGCCTGTCCAGACACCTGTGAACTACGTCACTCCTCCACCTTCTACCGTAACTGAAAAGAAGCAGTTAGCAGTCTAAACACCATCGGGGCACTTGCACCTGCCTTCCCTCCTGTGCTGGTAAAAAAAAGTTCTGTAGCAGTGAACTGAATTAGTTCTTTCTAATCTGAAAAGTGAGAGATATTACAAAAGGAGCCAGCTCCCAAAAAAGAACATCTCCTGTTCTCTCCTGGCTCCCAGTTCCCTTTCCTTTGTGTTATTATCTTGTATCTAAAATATCAACATGCTATATAAATGAAAATGATGTGATGGAATTATCCATGAAACACCTAGATACTACCTTGGGAAAAACTGAGAAATGATCAAATATAGAAATAGTTGAATACGTCCAGGTCTTCAATTTCAAGCTAATTACTGTTGCATTTCTTTCATGGTCAGGGACCAACATTACAACATACTGTAATTGTAATAGCTTGTCAATGGAACATCACTTGGTGTCAAAACTAAGTTATATTGTAGCTTTTCTGTCAGATTTTTGTTCACTGCATTTTCTGTTTTTATTTTATTTAGCAAATAATACATCAATCTTTTAAAGAATCAGGATTGATATTTTATTTTTCATATTCAGTCATACTTGGATATTTTTTCAATGTTATTTATACTTTTTATAATTATTTGGAAGTTTACAAAACTGACAAAGTCTGCAGGGCTTTGATTCTTCAGGACTTCAGGAGTTCTGCCTTCTGTTTTTAAACTAAACAAAAATTTCATGTTTTAACCTTCCTTCTGCAAAACTCAGAATGAATGTCCTGTGTGTAAGGGGCTTAAAATGCATGGGAATTGGCACCACAATAGCTCTCAAAGCCAAAAATTGGAAACAAAAATTGGAAATCACTCCCCCACTCAGGAACTCTTTTTATTTGTGTTATGTCATGTAGTTAAGACGTTAACTCCCTATGTGTCAGGATTAGTGTAGATGTGATATTACCTTATCCTCCTTAAACAGCACATAGCCCACTTCCCTGAGCTTCCTTTTTGTTTAATAGTAACCTCTCTCAAGGTGTACAGTAGTGCCACTCAGAAGTGCAGCAGGATTTTAAAACAGTTTTTTTTGGATCACTTGCTATCACAGGAGCAGAGGACTGAAGGCAGTAAGGTAAGGGTATGTTACCACTATTTAATTACTATTTTGTTTTTACTAACACTGTCACTCCATGACAAACCAGGATACCCCAAACACACCACTGTCTCAGGTTTTAATATACCGTCATTGCCTATGGTCTGCTCTGTCAAAGTTTTCCACATTTCCACATTTCAAGTGGCAGCTGGATTGGACCTATTAAATATCAGGTTATGGATTTATCAGGGTCAAAGGTTGTTATTACACATTCATGAGGTTAGAGTGGGGAGCTGCATCAGCCTGCGAACTGTAAAAGAACAAGAAAAAACACAACATTTTGGCTTCATAGCCTTCACCAGGTGTGTCAAGACCTGACGTAGTTGTGTTTGTTCTTCATTCTTTTTGCTTTTCAGCATGGAATGAGCCTCTAACTGTTCATTCATTTCTAATGTTTTATATAGCAAGGTCAGTTTTTGTTTTCCCAGTCACAGTTAATGTTCTAAAGAAATCCCCAACAAAGCTGGTATTCAGCCTCAAGCTAATTTGTTTAAAATGCAAATAAAGACATGGGATTTGCTAGAAATATTGGGGATCCACCTAGACAGCAATAGAGAGGGGCTTGTTTTTACTATATGTACACCACACCTTACCAGCTAGATAGAAACTCAATACAATTTCTAAATAAAAAGGTAAAAGGTAAACAACTGAAATGGAATGTACACCTGTTTCATTGCAATCAATTAGATTATTTGTCTCACAGTAACAATGAAACACAACACCCTGTGAATAATCAAATTGTTCATGAGAGCATCTGCGAAAATAATATAACCTATATTCCAGTTAGTTAATAGAAGAAAGACATCACATGGATGTGTAATCAAAAGGGGCAGCCTAAAGCAGTTTGCTCTTAGGCCACCTTAAATGATTTGGAATTTTTTTTTGTTAACTGTGTGAACGTTCACATAAGAGATCAGTGAGTGTTAGCCTGGGATTAAAGGTAAGGGTATGTTACCACTTTACAGGCCTGCCAATTGCTAATTCCAAAGGCGTCACTTGATGGTGGTATTCTGTTTGGTGGCAAATTGGGATTGGTTGGTGTGTCAAGGTTTAATTAAAAATTGTGGGGCATAAAACGCTTTAAATCAGTGCTCTCAATCCAGATTAGGTTTTGTTCTGTCTGAGATCTTGATGATTTAATTGGAGCCCAGAGTTATATTTATTAGGTTTTTTTTGTTTCAGCTCTTCAGCTTCTTGGGATTTAAAATTTACCAAATATATTCTGAAGTAACTTAAAACTGCAACTTTTATAAACAGAAAACTATGCAAAAAGTCTAATCAGTTACTATGAATTTTAGGGATCAATTAAGAAACAGAGAGTCTTAACTGGACTGAAAATCAGAAGGTCCTGTGGTCACCTGGATCAGAATCAGAAAGCCTTGCTTTAAATTTCCAATTAGTTTTTCTTGATTTTAAGGGTTTTGCACATAATAGATGGCATATTTAATATTTAAAGTATTTACACAGCTAGAAACTGAATGTCATCAATATGGGATTTTACATTGACTGACCCAAGACATTTTGATGAGCACATTCAATGTCATGAATGCTTCTCTTCAGTTTGCATTAACTAGAATCCTTAATCACAACCACTGTTAAACCAAGCTGCAATTTTTAAAAACTAGAGTTTTACAATATCAACAACCTTTCGCATTCAATTAAATTAAAACCTGAAGTGGTGCAATTTGTATTTCTACAGTTTTAGGTGCCCTTGATTTGTCACAGAATGACCCAACAGTGACTCATGAGTCTTAAATATCTGCTCGCTACTTATCTGTAAAAGTTGCTTATTCAAATTAAAAGAAACTGAAATATTGGACGTCAAAACGTAAAGCTGCAACAATGGCTTAACATTGCATGATTAGTGTTAGTGCCTTAACAGCTACATAGAATATCTTTAAACCTGTTTCTTATTCTGCATTCTAAACCTTGCTGGAGAGTACACAGGTATCATCCGGAACAACATTCATTCTCCATGACCCTGTGTCATTCTGTCACTGTCATTTACTACATTCAGTAAATGTTAATGAAGTATCGTTTTTTGGGTGAGTCGTGAAAGAGCATCACCTACACAGAAACAGGTTTGTAGCAAGCATATATATAAATGGGTGTTAGTTGTAGTAACAGATGTGATTTTACTAATAGTAGTCGTAGAACTCCTCAATGATTTTTCCTCCCTGTCTTCCTTCTCCAGCATGCATTTCATAAATCAAAAAAGCAGTATTAGTTGAGGGTGGGTGTGGTACTGTAGGATGTGTGTGCCCAGCTTTTCACAGCAAGTGAAATCACAGTGGTATTTCAGTGCAGACCAATGAAATATATTATAACACAAATGCCATTTAGAGACCTTTGCAACAAATTTCAGAAATCTGGCCCAAAGTTAAACAGTCGTTATGTTATGTTATATTGCAGTCCTATTTCTCCAGAGCAGGACATAGTCAGATAGAATGTTTTTATTGGGCTGTAGCTTGTATTGCTACTGTCTGCGTTATGTCTGTTCTGCAGACTTCTGCTTCCTCAGTCCTTGGATTTTCAATGGAATGGTTAACAAAATAAATCAGCGATGACAGAGGAGCAGTAAAAAGCTTAAAACCTACATTTAAAGGTGTTTTACTTAGCTCCCTGGATTCACACATTAACCAATAGGGAATATAATCACGCATTCAGAAGTGTAGACATTTGCCTTCTCTCTAAACAAGGTAAAAAGAGTGACATACAAAGGAACTAATTACCTTTTTAAGTTGTCATCCACCAGCAGCAAATTGTATAAAATCACCAGATAAAGTGACATTATAACTATCATTAAATAGCAACTTTAATTGTCTTTTATTGCATCTTTATATTCATATGTTTATACTTTTTGTTATGCTTTATTAAATTATGTTTGGAACAAGCTTAACAGTAACAGCAAGTGTAAATATTAGTAATTATGGTGAGTTCCAAAATGGGTTTTTTCCATTCACTCTCCATCGTTCTCAAATGCCTGTTATTCTGTAATAAAAACTTTTAGATTGAGTCCAATTTTATATCAACTTTCAGTAATTTTACAGTTGCTGAATTTTAAATAACCACAGCTTGATTCATTGTGGAACATATGCCAGTACCAAATGAATAACATCAGTTGTTTCATGCGTACAGTATCAACCATAAAGCTCTGTGGGACTATGGAACAAGCTACCCAGCCATGTTGTTGAAGCCAATACCTTGGCTTTTTTTAAGAAACAGCTGGATGAGTTCCTTGGATCAATTAACTACTATCAAAGAAGCCAAATGACTTGTTTATAACCTTATGTTCTCATTGATCTATGTGGATGTATAAGGATATATAGTAATAATACCTTACATTTGCCTTCACTTTGCAACCTTGTTCACTTGATACATATTTGGGGGTCATAGAATTTTAACTCAAAGCACAAAGGTGGACTTAACAATTTCTATAATTGTCTTATAATGGTCTTCCATCTTGGTCTTGAAAGAAGCAAGTCAAAGCAATAGGTCAAATAAAAAGCAATTGTATTTATTATGCAGCTAGCAATTTTCATGCTAAAGAAATACTGTATTCAGTATGTGTATGCAACCTTATGCCCATCTCTCCCTAAGCAATAGGAAAGCTTGTTTTGAGATGCAAATAATAAAAATCAGTCGGAAATACCCTTCATTTTTCTAAAGCATTCATTAATCTTACTCCAAGAAATGTTTTGTATCAATCTTGGTTGCCAGTGGGTGTTTCTTTGGTGAAGGTGGAATGTGTTCATAGTTTTTGATTTTTAATGTACGTTGTGCACTTCATTACATCTTGGTGCTATGCTTAAACCTCATTCCTGTTTTTTAGCCAAACTAATGATGCTGTTTTTGAAAATTCTTGATCATGAACCAGGACTGTTGGACTGTTAAATTTAAACAAACTTAAAGCCTAGGAATGTGGAATGAGTTTTAAAAAAACTTGTCTTTGGGCTAATGCACTCAGATTGCCTCTTGCTACGATAGACACCACACCACACCACACTCAGAGAGTCAGGACCTCATAGTCCTATACCTTTTTGCACAAACAGTTATTTATCTATGTAGAGAATACCCTTTTTAATTGATATAACTAAAGAATTCTGTTTATAATAACCATATTCCTTTGAGCCACATCAACAAATTTCCTTTTCTTAAAAAAGGAAAAACAAATTCCAAATGTTCCACAACCTGAAACATTTAAAAAGAGCCCTGAAGGTCCAACACAAAAACACTCCTATAGCTAGCTTGTTTGTTAAATGTTTTGGGGGTCTTAATGGTACATCATTCTTCCAAATTAAATGATTTAATTTGAAGTATCTTTTCCACTGTCAAAATAGATCAAAATTAGATCAGCTATATATTTTGTGTTACATCTTGAAAGGACGTTATAGTTGTTAGGGTCCTCTCAGCTAAGTTTGCTCCTTCTCAGGCACTTTGATTCTGACGCCAGTGCATACAGCAAGTAAAAACAGGGACATCACTGAAGTATTGTTTGCATTTTAATGAGCTCAAGTATAATGATAGGGTTAACATTCAAGTGATACTGTTACTGTTGCCTTAGTAACCTTAAAGTTGTCTTTAACCTACTCTACCACACTCTTGACAGGTATACTAGACTTGCCCATCCCTGGGGTAATCGTTACGTTATGCTACGGCATTAGTTTGGGTCTGATATCTGTATGGCTGCATTAATGTACTGTACAAGTGAACTATGTTAATAATTTTGTGGCCACAGCCATGTGTAAAAATATGAAAATTTGATTTATAAAAAAGGTTCTGCTAAAACACTTAAGTGATTGCTCACATGATCAACACCTTTCAGTGTAAGCCTACAAACATTTTCACACCTCTTTCTTTGTTAACAAATCTCATACTTTGTGTTTCAAATATATACACACAGTGAAGAGAGGAGTGCATACATACTGTATAGTGTGCCACTGGTGAATGTGGGCACTGGCCTTACACATCATTCAGGACCTCAGACACAGTAGTACCATTGGCTGATACTGTATGTATACCTCAATAGCTGAATGCATGTGGAGAACCTGAACAGCTCTGTAATGTCGAGGGCAGCTCAAATTAACATGTTGGAGATTTCAAGGACATACGTGTCCATTCTTCTGTGTACTTAGTGCTTATAAAGAACTGCAGCTGTGAAAAATAATGTTACAACAGATTGCTGTAGGTTACAGGCAATTATAGTTAAAATTATTTTAATTATAATATTTACAGAAAAGAACAGAGCTATTAGTAAAATGAGTGAACGTTATTGAATCTGGATGCTCTGTAGAAGAATGACTGTGTTACACAAATGAAACTATTTTAACAGGAGCTACATGATATCCAAGTTGTTCACATTGTTCTTTATACAGCCTTCACTCCTTGGTCTTTATTTTTTTGGTCTTTTACGAAGCCAGGTTTTGCGATTTCAGATTGTGTGCATAATGCTGAATGTCTGTTTGAAGACTTGATAAAATATTATTTTGCAAAAATCTTTTCAGATGCGCCCTATGTTCCCATACTGCTATAGGTTTGACCCTAGAGTCTATATATCAGTGGCTTGAAACTATGTCTCTCTGCCTAATTATCTACCAGTCAGTCATCTAACAAGGATTCCTTAAGGAAGGAGAGTGCATTCAACAGTGTTGGCAGAGGTATCTGTGGGTTAATGCCTAACAGTACCCACTAGTACTAGTAAATGCTACTACTGTAGCACTCCTTGATATTTAATAAAAAACAAGCATCCTCTCACTGTATAGCAGATCAAGGTCCAGTGTAAATCTATTGTATAACAAGAGCCATGTTTGATTATATATACTATTTAGACTTACAACCATCCTCTTGTTCCATCATGTGTCAGTATCCAGTGTCAGAAACACATGAAACAGAATTTTTAAATTGATTTCCTAACAGCTTAAATTTGTTTGTGACTTTTGTTAGTCACTAAAGTTAGTGAAACGTGGAAAGTAATAATTTATCTACCCATTTAACTTTTAAATCTTCTATACGCCCACCTTTTTTCTAAGATCAGTTCGCTTTCACCTTCTGAAAATTTGGTTTTCAGCAGCCTTTGCACTGTGTGTAACTTTCACTTTGAACTCTTCAACACATTCAGCCACCAAATGTTAACAATATGCTAAGACATATTCAGTTCACAGGTATATGGTGAGCAGATACAGAAAACTATATCCAAATCTGCAATACATTGAGGGAAAGCTATATATGAAATTAAGAATGTTATGTAGAAAGCATATGTTATATGTAGTTACACAACCAACAAAAAGAACAACCAATGTTTTTCTTCTTGCCTCATGTATCTGCTTCAGCTTTTACACATTTTATTTTAGACTAACATTCTTTGGTGTATTATCAAATCATTAGTTTCTCACAGTGTCGTAACATTATTTTGGGCTGTGAGTAAAAACACACAAACATTCACTGATGTGCAAAGTATCAATTAATGTAAAAAAGAAAAGTAAATCCCTCAAGACAAAGCCAGACTTTTCTGCAGTCTGAACTGTTAAATTATTGCACGTTTCTAGTAACACTTTGGCATCACTGTACCCAGGGGGTTGCAAGTTGTACTGAACAAGGGGTTGATTTGTTGTCTTAACTGTGCTAGGATTAAGCATTAAATTAAAATTAGCCAGAAGTTTCTCAAAACATCTTACATTTCTTAACATTACTTAAAATTATTTCTTAATTTAAGAAATGATTTAACGTCCTATGCCTCTTACAAAGCACCTACACAATCTAGTCTTAAGTTACTGGTTTAAAGATCAGTAGGTCACAGTGGCTCCTCATTTGTTCTGTGCTTTGGGGTAAAATATATTGTTATACAAGAATAGTCACGTGAATTAATGTAGGTTCTGTCCACATTTTTCAATGTCCTATAGACCTGTAGTTCTGCTTGGTTTTCATATGTCTTCACTACTTAAAAACGTGGAATTAAAAGCTGGTGCAGTTAGTTTTATGGAGGAGGAAAGTGAAGTAGCTACTAAGATGGGGAATTAAAAGCACAAAATGGCAACTCTCACTTGAGTTTCTGGATAACTGCTATTTTTGCTATTTAACAATGTTTATTGAGAGCTGGGTGCCTTACAAGAAAACGACTTTAAAATGCTCTTCAGTTCCAGGACTGGATCTTGTTGTAACACAATGGCAATGCCTTTGCTAATTTTCAGTTACAGAGTAAAGCTTTACTATATAGTGCATGTGAGCAGCTTTTAGAAGCACATGCCATTACCACTGAAGGACACTGCTTGGAGTTGTTAAGGGGACATCAGGTGTCCTTAATTTTTTAAGTTTTTTTTCACTTGGAATTTCTTATAAAGGATAAATTATTATGATTAAGGCAAATGGCAGAGAAGCAGGTTTCTGGGGGGACGTGAGTTACGCAGGCTTTTTTCTCTTCCAGGACTGGGAGTCTGAAAGCCATGACTGGTACTGCTTTGAATGTCACCACCCTGGAGATGTGATGATGTGTGACTCCTGCTTTCGCGTGTACCATCTCAAATGCCTCTCAGATGAGTTTAAGCCCAGGGACAACAGCACACACTGGCAATGCATTGTATGCAAGGTATGGAATGCATTCAGTGCCATATTCCATTGGCAGCTCCACATGTTGAAGACATTTGCACTATGCTATCAGACCTGTCTCATATTATTTTTTCTTTCCTTAATCCATCCATCCATTTTCTAACTGCTTTAATAATAATGATAATAATTAATAATAATTGCTTATACTTATATAGCGCTTTTCTGGACACTCCACTCAAAGTGCTTTACAGGTAATGGG